CGCGGGCATCGCGCGCGGTGATGCATGGCAAGCCAGAACTCAGTCATTATCACAGACAATTGCTTGAAAATTAGTGCAGGCTTCTTTCATAGTCGTATCAAGGACATCTCTTTCATGGCTTCAAAATTTTTGAGTCTGCGACCAAAAACTATGGAACGCATATAATGAATATTCTTGCTATTATAACGTAGCAATATCTCGTGCAACATTGAAACAACACAAGTGACATGAGTGATGAACGAATTGGCTCATATCTTTCGTCGACAGATAAGTTGCCTACAGCTAAGTGCTTTAAAAGTCGCAAACAGCGACACTACTCTGGCGTTACTTACGCTTGATCTTTCATGGTCTTTTTATTTGTTCTGACACGAGGCGTATAACTTATCAGTTAATGCGCGCTCGGGAGGGGTCAACTTGGTTCCCCCGAAGGTTTTTTTCCGAAATAATAAATAAATAATACATCTCTGAGATACTTTCTCAGGCAACTCAACAATTAAATGGACAAATCACATTGACCTAGGGCCAGGCATAAAAGTCAGACAATAGTTAAAAACAGCATGTTTTATCTCGCTAGAGCTTAATGTGTGGGGTAGTTTCTGGTGCTCATTTAGGATTTATTTACAACAGGAACAGCATTATACACTTTTCATGAACTTCTTAAAGTTCAGAATAAAACAGTTATCTAGGTTCTAATGACCATTGAAGACCAGCCTGGAATTTGACCTTGTTTGACCTTATTTGATCCAAAGGTCATGAACTAGAAATCTCTAGCTTGGACCTAAGTGAGTTCACGTACAGGTCAACACACCCTGTAAAAGCTGTATTTGTTCCTAAGCTCTCAGGTGGTCAAATTGACCCCACCCCACCTGAGCAAAGGGTATTCAACCAGCCATGCAGGCGCGTGTTAGAGCTTTTAACAATTTTGCAGCGATATTTCAAGGTTTTTTACTATTACAAACATCGCACAGAGGAGAAGACTGACCTCTCCCCGGCCAATGTCGGGTTAAGAGCCGACAACTACACGAACAGAATTGAGGTAAGCACGCCAGGCGTGTTTAGCTGTCCTTGAATGCGGCATAACTAATCGAAAGGGTCCCTGCCAACCTTCCTGTAACGAGAGCGCTATGCCACTCTTGCCGACCGGTCATAATAGGCTACGCAATCTTAATTAGCTTCGCATTTTGTTTCGACAAGCTTTTGGAAGCCAATTTGTGCTGTTGCTATTTCGGCTTTCTAGCAAGTAAAGGGAGATCTAAGCTGCGGGCTATGTGTTTGCATGGGAATCGGGGATTCTTATTTCTAACGTTCCTGATTGCGCGCAGCCTGTGTTGGCATGGTCCTAAGCCCCTCGGTCGCTACGTTTAAACCTTGCTGGGCCCATCACACACTGCTGCTCTCTTCGCATTCAAAGCACCAGTTAAAAGCGTGCGTGATCTCTGGTGGTCTTTGGTCATGTCATGTCATTGGGGCTTTACGACGCACTCAGCTCCTGAGGCTATATGGCGTCGCCTGCCTCTCACCCGGGCAGGAAGGGCGGGCACCGCGGGGAATCGAACCCCGTACCTCTGGTTTCCCAGATGCGCAGTTGTTAACGCAGACGCGTTAACCACTACACTACCGACACCCGCGGAATTTGGTTAGGAGAGTTCGTCATAACCGCGGCGGTACGAGACAGTGAACAATTTTTTCCGCAGCCATTTGAACATGCTCCTGGACTTCTTGTAGGGCATGGAGATAGACGTGTATGTGTGCGTGCGTACGTCCATGCGTGTGTCATACGGGCTTCACGATCCACTCATCTACTAAGATTATATGGCGTCGCCTGCCTTTCACTCTGGCAGGGAGTGCGGAAACCGCCGGGAATCGAACCCCGTACTTCTGGCTTCCCAGACGCGCAGCTTAACCAATATACAATGGGTTTCCTGGATAGGAGTGGGTACAGCGTTATACGTTTTGGCCGTCACGCCGTACCTGTCTGTTACGTCAGCGACGTTCTACTGCTCTCTACAAATGCCTGAAATTTTGAATTTGCCTCTTTGGCCATTTAATTTAATACAGCCAGAGAAAGCTGGGCTGTCTTCTTGTGTAAGATGCTGGGCGAGACTGTTTCTTAAAAAGCTCCCCGGTTGGTTTGTGGCGCGGAGTTCGGGCGTCTTAGTATGACATTATACGACAATTGGAGTGAGTTGTGGCGGCGGGTAGAGTGATCTAAGGTAGAATAGTATGAGGAGGAGGAGATGAAGAGGATGCGTATTAAAACATCAAGGGCTCATGACCTCCAACAATAAGAACGTCCAAATTGTAGCATCCGGCGATAGTGACACCCAAAGACCGTCCAATGTCCTTGGACAGGAAATAATCACAACATCGAAAATTAAGTTTATGACGTCCAAGGGTTGGAGAAAAGTACCAGTCAAAGTGATGGACGTCAAATGAACTGGACGTCGTGATCACTGGTTGTTATGATTTAGGACGTTGTGAGCTTCGATGAACATCCAGCTCGTTCCAAGTTCATAGCACTAAAAACTCCGCCAATAGGTGCAGCATTGAACGCATTTTGGATGTTATGAACACTTGATGTGGTGATTTGGGATGATATGAGTACTGGATGCTACCATCTTGGACGTTTTGATGGTTTCCCGATGACGACCCTGGCGATTGTCTGCGATCTGGCCCTTCCTCCGGTTAAAAGACATGAACGATCTACAGGGAAGTAAAACTCGGTGTCAAAATATTCTGCCTGTGCTACCTTCTCGCACACATCGCACCACCCTGCTGGTAGCTCTAGGTATCACGCGGGTGCAGGCAAACATCCGAGGCAGCATCCAGCAGGTTCTAGAAAGCATTCCGACTGAACCAGATGGTGTGAAATGGTGCGTTCGCTGGCATCGCTTGCAATTGCTCTAGCAGATCTGTTAGCTTCGCTTGCAATCGCTCCAACAGAGCTGTTAGCTTCGCTTGCAATCGCTCCAACAGAGCTGTTAGCTTCGCTTGCAATCGCTCCAACAGAGCTGTTAGCTTCGTTTCTGGACGAATTGCACAAAACAGCCACCTGCCGTCTCATGGTTGCCTCAAGCGTGGTCGTTGGGCGCATCTGTCACCAGTTAATGGATGCTTAAACACACGGAAAGGGTGTGGTGGGCACCATAGGGTTTCTCCGCGGAGGAATCTAGAGTGAATGGCGCTGCTTTTTTAGGATAATAACGTTGTGGCTTCTGCTATGAGGTATTTTTCGTGTCGCTGCCTTTCTGGAAGTTTTTTTTTAACTGAGGAGCGTTTTGTCGAGTGCAGTTCGGTCCTATTCATGACGGTGATAATGGGTGCAAATTGCGCAGGTGAAACGTTAGTTTCTTCCCGTTCAAGTTTAGTTTAAACATGGGACTTTTTAACAGCGTCCTGGTTTTCCACCACAACTTAGCGCAGTGTGGACACACGACAATGCATGAGCCGTATACAACGCATTGGGTGCCAGTTTTCTGACGCTCTTTCTTCCGTATATGTACCACTGCATGAAATACATCATAGACGTCACTACAGAGCCGTCAAAGCTCTCAGGTCTGCAGGCTTGCATCTGTCCCGACATTGTGGATAAGTGCATTAACGCATAAGCCAGCAGGAACTAAGACCAGTTGAGTCAAAGACGGCAATAATGCTGCGTTAACAGGCATCGAGGCAGGATACCTAACGCCTTCAAACGGAGTGACCCGTCTTTGTGGCAAATATCTCCTCGTGAAACGTCAGGACTAGTAACGTCTAACAATAACACTGAGTAGTGTCACTGCGGCAGCGTCAAGACATGGTAAGGATATCAATTTTAATAATTCCCGAGTCAAACTTACGCTGTCCACGCTTTCTAACAACACTTCCCAGTGCTACTACGCCCCCCCCCCCCCCCCCTCCCTCCTGCAGCCTCTAGCACCGTCGTCATGACAACTACCGTGCGCACATCTGCTGGTGCGAATAAAAGGACATTTGTTATTGGGCCAGCGGACAAGGGCCTGTTACCAGAAAGTTGGTTGGTTTGAGTTGAGACCAGTGCGTCACGAGGATCATATGATAATCGCAATCAGACCCAAAGTGCGGCCCGAAAAGACGCTGTGGTAAACGCCACGGGGAGAAATCATGGCTGGCAACGCCATTCATGTTTATTGCCAAACGCCAAGGTACAATGTTTCGTTGAATTCGCGGGCCAAAAGTTTCATGTTCGCATATCATGTTGTCTAAAGTGTGTTTCCAGCTTCCGTAACATTTATTACACGAGCCTTCTGACGCATCAGTGTGCCGCAAACATTACAGAGCACACACGCTGGAAAAAAACAAAGTAAATTAACTGTATTGCTTTCGCAGTGGTGGGCAGGGACTTCAAAAATATCCCTCGTCAGGGTTGGCAGCTTCAAATAGAAATTATGAGCTATTCAGAAGGATTTCGAGAAAACTGGTATTGCGGATCAAATCGCACACGTCCAATCTAGCAATAAGTGAAAGCATGGCAAGATGTGTTACTTCGTATGAAGGGAATGTCCCACCTTTGGGGCGTATTTAAAACAAAAAACGCTTCTGGAATCGTAGGACCAGTTGCGTCTAATAGTAGCACTGGATAGTGCTACTGAAACGTGGTTAATACATAATAGAAATTAAGTTGATGATTTTTAGTCCAAGTTACGCTCTCAACGCTTTATAACAGCACTGCGCTTTTTCTGCAGTCGCGACAACCGTCGTCATGACAACCGTCGTGAGCGTCTCTATCGCTGCGAATAAAATTGCGCTTGGGATTGGCTCCGCGAGCGGCAAGCGCCAGTTACCGAGAGACACACGGGCTGACTGAACCAGTGCGTCACTATGAACCACGTCATACTCCCAATTCTAAAGCCGAAGTGCGCTTTGAAAACAGCCACGATGGTAAACACCATAGGGAAGAAATAAAAGCCAAATCATGACATGACGCTCAATTCGCTGGATAATAGTTTCATGTTCGCGTGTCTTTTTGGCTCGACATAGTGTTGCAAGCTGTAGTAGCATTTATTACACAAACATTTTGACACATTAGTGTGTTCTGACATAATACAGCGTACTCATTGGAAACCAACAGGCAAACGAAATGTATCACTTTTATGGTGGTGAGCAGAGGGTATAATGAGATTTCTTCCATAGGCGTCTCTTCCACTTCCAATCGAATTCTGGGCTATTCCGGACTTCGAGAAAACTAGTACTGCTGATCGAATAGTACGCGTCTGGTCTATTAATAAGTGAAAAGCGCAAAAAAGCGGGATATTTCCCTTAAGAATTTCCGACTGCCAAGAAGACATCCCTGTGAATTGCCATCCATTTGACACTGGAACAAGCGGAGCCGACAACGAAAACGTCGCCAAAATAGTGCTGTACTGTTGCTAGCACTTCTTGGTCGTGACACTGACAGTGACAATGTACGCCATTACAATAGCCTGGCTCATTTGGTCCCACCGGCTTCAGCACACCCTGAATTTTGGGTGTCAGCAGGTTGGGTAGCAACATGCAAATAGTTGGTACTGACAGACGATTTCATTTCACTTTCATACCTGAAAGTTAATTATCAAAATTCAAAAATATCGACGCAATTAAAACTCTCGGCACCCCGATAACATTGCTGGGACAAGTGTTACATTATGGCAATGCTGTTTACCAAGTTGGTAATATCCCGTTGAGGACACGGCAGATGCTTCCAAAGTTGTCAAATGCTGTTGATCTATTCCATGTTTCAATGTTGCAAATCGAATTTTGAACGCTCTAACACATGCAATTTTTAAACTACATAATTTGCGAGTGATCATCCGAGTACAACATTTGAGAAACAGCAGCGCATTACAAGCTATCAGGACAACAAAATGAAGTGCTGCACCTCAGGATAGCACCCTGGGAACGGTCGAAGCCTCCGCATCAACTGCAATGTAATCATTTATCCTCTGATTTAGTTAAAGTTCAGTAGCACATCAACCAAGACATTAATACTGTCATTGACCGGTGTAGCGCAGTTAACAACCAGATCTCACATGCTATCACATCGGCGAGTTCTACCTCATCCGACAGCAGTCTCAATAACAGCCAACTTCACTCTACCACTTATCCCACTTAGCACTTGACAGCGCCCATTCCAAAAGCTAGTCTCGCTCCTCCAGCGCTCCGCCACGCCCTGGTCTGGTCTGGAGCGCTCCGCCACACCCTGGTCTGGTCTGGAGCGTTCTGCCACGCCCTGGTCTGGTCTGGAGCGCTCCGCCACGCCCTGGTCTGGTCTGGAGCGCTCTGCCACGCCCTGGTCTGGTCTGGAGCGCTCCGCCACGCCCTGGTCTGGCGAAATAAGTGAGGTGTCCACATCCAGCGCTTCTGAACGCTGCACAGTGACCAGCCAACTAAGATGAACATCACAAATTCGTGCCCTGAATATTACCGGCAGCCTGGGGCTTACGCCGGGCGCGCTGTCGTCGCGCGCTTTTGAGCTGTGGGAGGTGGGTCGGTGCCCCGGCCTCAGTCCCGACAGCTCCAGTCTTGTCGCTCAGTTGTCGGCTACGGTCTGCGCCATCCAGTCGAGGTACGAGTCGACGCGGGTGTAGATGCCCGGGAACCTGGCGTTGCCACAGCCCACGGCGAACGACACGACGCCGGCGGCGGAGAACTTGAGCGTGCCGTTCGTCTTCTCGTAGGTCATCAGAGGTCCGCCGCTGTCACCCTGCCAACAGCGGCACGTGCGTCCAGCCGCAACGTCGCCAACGACACGTGCGTCCAGCCGCAACGTCGCCAACGTAGAGCGTTGCACGGTTTGGGTGGACCCATGCATAACCGCAGGTGACGGATTGGGTCGGGTCATGATCTTGTGAGAACTATAAGTATGAGATATAGTTAAGACGTTTACGAAATGTCGGGTAGGTGCTTTAAGAAATACTACACAATGTGCTTGCGCTTACTTTCAGTAATAACTTGTTCCGTTCACACCGCGTTTGCAATTATCAACGCAAAAGAATAAGTTAAGGTATGAATTTTCTTGCCACTCGTGCACAGCTTAGAACCAGAGCTCGAAAATGTGAACGGGTGAATAACGGATCCAGAATGATCAAGTAATCATAGAATTGATCCAGAATGGGTAGTAGGAGGATAAGGTAAGGCAGATATTCCCCGCTATGGTCTCTATGCCAAGGCACAACAGAGTGGCCGGCCTGTGCTCAGTGCCGGTTATACCAAGTTGAGCACAGGCCGACACTGTGAAGGGAATAGTCACAACGGATTAAAATTCCGCAGAATCCGGTTTCAAAATGGCGGCCGAGCTGCTATAGTTTTGTCAAGTTGAATCATGAATACTGCTGGCGCTGCCCAAATAATGTCAACAGTTATGCCAATATCTGCCACACCACATGCGGCACATCTCGTTCATAAAAGGCATCCTAATGTTTAACACGTGCTCGGGTGGGGGCCAACTTGACGCCCGTCGACGGTTTTTCCGGAATGGTTTCCGAACGGCGCAACGTAGCCGCGCCAAATTACGCATAGCTGTAGAAATTAAATAGCGGATCGTTTGGTGTCAAAAATTAAGATGTACCTGTTATCGTGGCTGACCTACAGCAGGCCAAGGCTAGGCCATGGATTCAGCGAATTTAATGACTAGGGAATCGTTCATTTTGACGCAACAATGGAATGTTATACCCAGCCATTCATCTCTGGGATGCTGTATTAGACAACACAACAATTGAATGAACAAACCCCGTTGACTTGGGGTCAGTTATTAAGGTTAGAGCAAGGTCAAAGCGAACTTGTTTTATTACTCTATGGTGTGGCGTTTGGGGTGGTTTTTGGTGCTCGTTTAAAATTTATTGATAACTGAAACGGCATTATACATCTCCCATGGACTCCTGAAACCTCAGAATAGGTCGCTCACCTAAAATGACCCAGGTCGATATTTTGGTTTTATAAACATGCTGCACAGCGTAATTTTTGTCGCTTTTCCAAGCGGAAAATGCAAAGCAATCTTGCATGATTTTGGCCACCATGACTTTCAAAAGGTAATACAAGGTCACTGACCTCAAATGATCATGCAACTTTTTGCTTAGAATAGGTATTTAGGTTCTGGGGCACCTTGGAGATCAATCTGGCGTTTGACCTTGTTTGACCTTATTTAACCCAAAGTTCACGACATAGGAACCTCAAAAGTTGATCTAATTGAACTCACGTGCAGACCAATACACCCTGTGAATTTGGTGTCTAGCTCTCTTAATTCCTGAAATCTCACCGCGGTCAAATTGACCCACACCCGAGCGAAGGTATTAAACCGGCCACCCAGGCGCGTGCTAAGCTGTCACGTCACCAACTCCACGCTCTGTTAGTAATTAATCGTTGCATCGTTTGCTGGCGACACACGTCATCGCGCAACAATGAATATATTATGCGTGACCTGCTTGAATGCAGGAGTTCCACGGTGCAAATCAAAATACTGCCCTGGCTATTTAAAAACCCGCAAATATCCTTCTCAGCATACCACACGCACACAAGTGATTCCAGAAATCTCGGGGTGCCTTCGCATGCCACCTGGGCGTCCCCGGCGGCGCGCGTGTCGTACCTCGCAGGCGTCGACACCGCCCTGGCAGCGGATCTCCTCCGAGTCCGGCGTGCAGCCGGGGCGCGTCCGATTCCTGTCGTTACCGCTGGCGCACAGGTGCAGACGTGCGTCGACGCGCATGCCCAGATCGCGGTAGTTGCTCTGGCACGAGTCGAACCGCGTGAAATTGATTGCGGCAAAGAGCATCCTCTTAGATGCAAAACCCTCTGCCGAAGGACGGGCGGCTTGCATGAGCAGGGGCGGCGTGCCTCGGCGGGAGGGGCGCGCATACACTGAGCGTACACCACTTCCTACATTCACCATGTGCATACACCTCTTACACACATCTCGCACATACACTCTTTATATACGGCTCAAACATACACACTGTACATGTACTCAGAGTGACGTGCACGCATTCCATGTGCACGCCAACGCATCCATCCCTTGCGTACGTCCCACACGTGCACTTGGTGCATGCACCCCTTGCACACACACCTTACGCGCACCACTTGCATGTGCTCCTTACATACACCGCCGGCGGGCGGCACAGGGACGGGAGGTGGCGGCCTTAACGCCAGGGTGAGGGGGCCGGTGGATGGTCACAAACAAGCAAGGTGAGACCGAGGCAAGATCAAAGAGAAGATGAAGGACCACGCCAGTGACAATGCGGAGAACATTGAGTTAACGAATACGCCGGAATCGTCTTCCGATGACAAAATATATTCATGTGCAGCAATTCCAAGGACAGTTGACGTGGCCAGTACTGCAATCGTCATTCCGCACGTGCCATCTGTGTGCAAAATGAAAGAAGTGCGAACGCAAGTAACACACACTGCTTGTGCATGCACTGCAACCACGCCGGCACTGCTCTCAGCGCAAAGTTGGTGACTAACACTGATATAAGATGATGCATGTGAACCACCACTGGAGCCTTACATCGCAGCGAAGTTATACTCACTGTATGCAGTCGTTCCCCATCCAGCAATAGCGGCTTCCCCGCTATATGGGTCCTTCTTTGCTCTCCCCGGAACACAGATAGGCTTCACGATGTCTGGAAACGAACCATTCCTCGTAAACACGCAGACGTCAATTCAACACGTCAATCGGGGAGGGGGCGGGGGCGGGGGGAGGGGGGGGGGGGTGGTTAGGGGGGAGGGGAGCGGCAAATCTCCGCCAGTAGCGACCAATTCCCGCCTCCCCTATTAGCAGAGCAATTCACCCTCAGTGACAATGTTGCTCTGCCACCAGTGAAATCATCCCCAGTGCAAACGTCGCGTTGTTCCCAGTTCCCGCCCCACCAGGTCTTTGACACGCCTCAAGTGGAGACCGTTGGGAGCACATCTATGGAAAGGTAGTTTTTTTGTAAATGAAGGAAAGAAGACCATTTGAAAAGAAAACGGAAGACAAGGTAGCACACAGCCGCTACCTTTTTTCTAAGTCAGACGTGTTTCAAATTCCGTCTGCCAGGATTTGATACCATTGTATTATAACATTTGAGTTGTATGTACAATTTGATACAGTGTTTGACTTGGTGTAGTTGATTTAATGGAGGCAAACACCTATGGAACATGTCGATTGCGAACATCGTGACTTACGGATCAACAAATTACAAAATTTTCCATTTTCTGACCGCCGAAACGCAAAAACACCTTAGCCATCTTATGGAAGCGTATAGACTTCGATGATTCGTGGGTCACAGCGTTCGTGACTTTTAATATCTCCCAAGCTTGTTTGTCTCGGGTATATCAACTATGGCGCAATGGCATTGTATGTTGCATTGTAATCTTCAGCATGTTAACAGTTTGGGAATTTCAGCGGACAAATATGCAAAATTTTGAGCTTTGTTGACCCTTGTGTAAAGACGCGTAGGACCCACTTGTTCCGTGCCACTATTTGCCGTTCCACATGGAGATACTCCAAACCACCCAATCACCTTTCAAAACAGACCCCGCTCACACGTTTTATCTTAAAAGTCACACGCGTAATCAAGCTTCAGCATTCATCTGGGCTTGCCTGCATTGTTCTGTACAGCAAGTTCTAGTCTATGATTCAATGACGTCAGGAATCTGGATGAGAACCACTGGCCACCTATCTGGATGAGAACCACTGGCCACCTATCTGGATGAGAACCACTGGCCACCTATCTGGATGAGAACCACTGGCCACCTATCTGGATGAGAACCACTGGCCACCTATCTGGATGAGAACCACTGGCCCCCTATCTGGATGAGAACCACTGGCCACCTATCTGGATGAGAACCACTGGCCACCTATCTGGATGAGAACCACTGGCCACCTATCCACCGGGGAAGTCTCACCTGAGAACCTGATGTCACTCTTCAGCTTGAGCAGGGCAATATCGTTAAAGAGTCCCTTGTCCGGTCGCCTGAAGCCTTTTTTGTAGTCGGGATGTTTGAAGATCTGCTCTACCTCAACGTCTTGAGGAGGGTGGAAGAAGTTGTCGTCAATGGATGTGGTTAGATCGAGGTCTCCCGCGTGAACCTTGATTCTGAAATATGCACCAGAGGCTAAAGGCAGGCTCATCAGACGCATGTGACGGGAGAGTCTTAAAGGGACAGTCTTGTGACGGGATGGCATCAGATGTGAACGACATCAGACGCATGTGACAGGACAGTCTTGTGACGGGACACCCTTAAACAACAATTACACCTGTTCACATTCCAACATCGACAATGAATTATGGGCACAAGGATGCACAGGGCCCCAGAAACTATCGAAATCGCAGGAGCGTTTTTCTCTCCACACTTTTGCGACATCGTAATTGTTGACGTTTGGACACATGACCGTGTCTACGCCGGAGCATATCAAAAGCCAAGTGCTCACAGTTGTCAGGCTTATCACGGAGGCCACGGGTCTGGCATGCCATCATGGCGGACGCCCCCTGAGTCTAGACGCCAAGCGTCTGGTAACGGCAGTATCCTAGCTGTTTCTACCGATGATAAACAGCTCGACGAGTATCATGTGCGCCAGATGAGGAACTCTTACGAGGACAAGAGATCGGTGTGGTCCAGTCCCTGGGTATGACGAAAAGAAAGAAGTGCTGTTGGCACCAGTTGACACTAATAACACATTCGGTGTGTTAGTGCCGTATCAACCTTCACTTTACATAAAAATGCAGATGCGCAGGTAACCTCTGCCTTTGCGGCAATATTTACCCCACGCATCTTTTCCCCACGTCACTAAGCTCCCTTTCGCTCTCGGCCCCCACGTGACCTTCCAGGGCGCGCCGCTGCCACAGCCGGCGCTCGGTAGCCGTGGCCGGGCCGCTGCCACCACTTACGGTCCTTTGCTGTTGATGCAATGGGCAGCCGTCATCACCCAGCGCCGGTCAATTATTGCCCCGCCGCATCTGTTGAACGGTTCCTCGGTGTACAGGAGTGACGCCATCCAGGGAAAGTCGCTCAAGCGCTGGACGGGTACGCCACCCACGATGCGAATGCCCTCCAGCGAAGATATGCCGCAGCCCGGCGGAGAGACGAACTTGGCGCTGCCCGCGGGCGGCGACGCGTCGTTCGGGCAGCACTGTCGCAGGGACGCGGCTGATCACGTGTGTGCCCTGAGCTCAGAGTGCGGCTGGTCACGTGTGTGCCCTGAGCTCAGAGTGCGGCTGATCACGTGTGTGCCCTGAGCTCAGAGTGCGGCTGGTCACGTGTGTGCCCTGAGCTCAGAGTGCGGCTGATCACGTGTGTGCCCTGAGCTCAGAGTGCGGCTGATCACGTGTGTGCCCTGAACTCAGAGTGCGGCTGGTCACGTGTGTGCCCTGAGCTCAGAGTGCGGCTGGTCACGTGTGTGTTCTGAGCTCAGAGCGCGGCTGATCACGTGTGTGCTCTGAGCTCAGAGCGCGGCTGATCACGTGTGTGCCCTGAGCTCAGAGTGCGGCTGATCACGTGTGTGCCCTGAGCTCAGAGCGCGGCTGATCACGTGTGTGCCCTGAGCTCAGAGCGCGGCTTATCACGTGTGTGCTCTGAGCTCAGAGTGCGGCTGATCACGTGTGTGCCCTGAGCTCAGAGTGCGGCTTATCACGTGTGTGCTCTGAGCTCAGAGTGCGGCTTATCACGTGTGTGCTCTGAGCCCGGAGCGGATGCCAACGAGACTCCCCGTCGCCGAACGTTCATCAAAGCTGGCATAGTCGCACAGATCGTTTCAGCTTTTATCCCCTGCCCATTTCCTTTCCAAACCAGCAAACGAAGCAAACCACCTCAATGAGAGGTAGCTGATGCCTGATTAAAGGCACGACTGCTGGGCGATGATGTGACCATCAAAGTCGCCTGACTCTGCGAAAGGGGCTCCGCCTAGTCGCGCGCCATGTCCCCTTCTGAAAAAAATAGGAACAGCCTGTGACGTCTAACGTCATCTTCCGCAGCCTCACCAGGAGCGTGGTGGTGCCGTGCTTGCCGCAGACAGACGCCTTCAGGTAGGGCACGTTCCTCCTGCGCAGGTGTTCGGTCAGCGAAGGGCAGCTGGTGACCACGCCACAGCGGCCCGCATGTCTCTCCGGAGTTAGACAGGCCGAGCCGAGGTCACTCGCCGCCGATCGCGGCGGAGGTGACACAGGTGGCCTGGTCGGCGGCAGCTGGGGTCTTCGCCGCGAGCCGAAGATGACTGCCAAGGGAAGGGCGCTTTAGACTCCTGTGTAATGTTCACGTTCATGGGGCCACGACTGCGGTAGAAGCTCGGCGAGAGATCTCGGAAGAGCGGGTCTCAGGCTTTTCGGATTTTTATCTCACGGACTGTGTTCGGAGTTGTTGCACGCACCAGTGTCGCCGCAACAGGAGCAACGGTATCCTCACCCTGAGCCCGGAGGCTGCACAAACACGGTAGTCACAGCATTATCCAGTGGGGTTTCAGCACACCTCCGGTATGATGGCCAGGGACAGGGTGAGAGGCAGCACAGGCCAGACTGTTTATGCACTTGACAGATGTCACCGAAGACATGAGTGTTGCGCTCACTTGAGTTTATCTAGCCCAGGCATGGGGGGCAGGTGTTGAATCCAGCCCTCAGATGCGCCACGTTTCAGGTGGCCACCTTTCCTTGTAGAGAGGACCTTTAAAGGGGAAGGCCCGCGACGTCCAGCGCGATCACACGCGGCGTGCTGGAATGCGCCGCTTAACATTGCGCGCGGAACCCACGTGCAGTGTCAGGCCCAAAAGTGTCAGGCCCAAAAGTGTCAAGCCCAAAAGTGTCAGGCCCAACAGTGTCAGACCCAAAAGTGTCAGGCCCAAAAGCTATGAAGTGATGAATTGACTCCGTGATGCTACTCTTGCTTTCTGGCATGTAATGCTCATGATATGTCAGCGTCAAACAACAGCGTCAAACAACAGCGACGTCAGTGTCAAACAACAGCGACGGACAAACAGGTAAGCGCAGTGGGGAATATGAAAACTATAATTTTAGCCGCCGACCTTGAACCCTGGTGGGAAGTCACTGACAAAGTGCTTTTTAGGTCATTTTGTTACAAACTTAATATGGATATTGTAAGTTTCTGTGTTATACACAAAGAAGCAGGAATCGTTTCAGGTTTTTGGCATCATTAGACACATGAGCACAGCAAGTGACACGCCTACATCAAAAAATCATTAGCCGTTTTGTACCCTTAGTAATTCACGATCCGTGGCGGATTTTACGCTTTTGTATTTCTTTTGCCTTATTTCTTTGGAAGTAACCGGAAGAATGGAGATGCAGATCACCGCAGAGAATGCAGAGAACCTTCGGCGGAGTGGTGTGCCGGAGAAGACCAGAGACCACAGTGTTAACGACACCATCAGTATCTGGGTGTTATAGTTATTCCTTCCTATAACTACATTTAAACCAAAACAATAAAACAGACATGCAAAGAACAAACTTCACCAGACAATGACAAGACAACAAGACAACAACAAGACCCAGACAACGCAGTTTAAGAAATATGGTGCGTTTAACGGTTCATGATGTAATCACCAAGTGCCAGGGAACGAACAGCACGGCGCTGTTTTTCAGCGTTGTTCATAGGCTCCGTGGCTCCGAGGCACGAGACAACACATTGTGCTCTATGTCGGAGGAGCATGCGCAGAACGCCAGGACGACCGTCTGGAGGATGCAGGAGATGCTGCTGCTCCTTGTCCCTCAACTCAGCTCTGGCAAAATCTGGCGCTATATCAGTGTTCATTAGCCCTACGTCGTTGCGTGAACATTAAACAAATGACTCATTGTATGAATCAACAACAATGTAGGAATCGTGTTGAGACTGTGTGACAAGATCAGTGCCTATGGTCTGACAGTTCACTTCAAAGCAGGTGGCAAAATTGTTGCATAAGAAACTGTCAAATGTCATCAACTGGTCTGATGTTGAATCGAGCATGCTTTCTGTTAATGCGTGGTTGTGTTGTCATGGAGTCATTCAATGTAGCAGGAAAGTACACCATATCAAATCAACGTTTGTCAAATAGCTCATTATGTCCCAAAACTATTATCCTGCGTGCAACCAACCTCACAAGATATAAGCAAATGCTGACAAAACATCGGAAAATAAAATTAAGATGAAATGTTGTCACACCCACATCTTACTCACTTGAACATTAGCTATATCTAAAATATAATAATCATATATATATATATATATAGCTAAATTAAGCTATTGGCCACTCACATCACTGAAAGAACTTTCAAAGAAAGTAAGGCATACCTCCTCCGCGTTGACAATGGACACAATGGTGGACCTCTTTGTTTCAGCACATCTGTTGCCCTGCGCCTTGACCACTTTGGCGTCAATGAGCGTAGCCTCATTTATGTGACGCCCCACGGGCCCGTTTTTGCTCTTTACCTGGCAGGCATCGAAGCTTATCTTGATCCACTGTCCGGTTCGCAAACAGAAGGCGTTTTTCGTTCTCCAGCACTTTGAAACCCTCCGAACCACAATGTCGTGACTGATTCCGCATCTAACACGTCGTGAACCACAAGATTAACCTCTTCTATGAATGTCGGCAGAAATTTGGCAACGTTTGAATGCTTGAATTAACACGGAGCTTCCCGTGCTTCTAGTCTACCGTCGAAGCCATAGCAACAGGCGTACCGTGTTTCCACAGCCCAGTGCCAGCTAACACAGTAAACAGTGCAGCTCCCCAGCCGGCCTAGACCCGGGCACGAGCGCATGGAGGAGCGGGGCACTCACTCTGCGCTGAGGCGTAGGTCGACAGACACCAGACAGCGCCGAGAAGACAGCAGACACGCGGCATCCAGACAGCGCGTCTCGCCATGACTGCACAATTGAGGCGCTCAGACAGCCTGGAACGTGCGGGCAGCGCAATGTCTTGCCGCACCGCGCCGTGAATGACGCCATTCCCCTCGCGCCCAGCTAATATAGCGCTGGCCGGGCCGCGCTGAGTCAGACGGAACACCCAGCGGACCGCTGACGGCGAGCAGGGGCGCGCTCAGCACCACTCCGCAGGGGGGACCTATACACACGGGAGCATGGCAGTTGGGTGTCGCCATAAGCAGCTGCAAAGACAGCGTTAGTGATTCGCTGGCTGGACCTTCCTAGCCAACTGCCTCCGTCAACTTTTCGAAGATAATTTTCAGGGGGGTTAATGACCTAACTTCCCGCCGGCTTCTCTGTGCCCGCTCATTGCAGATGGCTGGCGGCGGTGCCGGTTGACGGGGGATGGGTCGGGCTTCCCGCGTCGTGCCGTAACCTTGGTGACCGCTGTACCGGCGCTCGGCGTTATAAGCTCTGTTACTCGGTGTGGGCGTACTTTGGTGCCCTTTGCCGTAGCGCTGTAGCAGGCTGTTGTGGCAACGAAGAGCCCCTGTGATCCCACATACGTGGAACTATGATGCAGCGTGAGCGGGAGGGCACATGCACAGATGAGTAAAGAAGTGTGCATCATGGTGAGTTCTGAGGTAGCGTGAAGAAAAGGGTACATGCACAGATGAGTAAAGAAGTGTGCATCATGGCGTAGTCCCGGTCTCACCTACACGGCGAAAGTGTATCGGTCTAGGGCGCTTTTCCATAGCGTAATGGTTTTTTTCGTCCGCCGGATGCAAAACTGCATGAGCCTTCGTCGAATGTTGAAACCAGCGGGGTATTTGACCCGCGTAAAATCACTGGTGAGGAGTTAATTAATGTCATAAACGGGACGCCCATAACATACATGACGCACAGAGGGGATTGGGTATGAGGGAGCATAACGGATGCGTAACAAGGAAGGGAGGTTTCTCTCATGACAAGGAACATAGTCATTATGTGTTTCGCCTCTAGCTCAAGTGGGGTTCAAGGAGACATTACTCCCAAGGGCTTCCAATTTGTGAATGTGAGCCGACGAAAGAGCACGTATTTTGCCCCATAATCACGCATCAGACCATTCCGGGACGTATGAAGCGCAGCATGGTTCGGTCAGACCAGGTCATCATAACTTGGTCCACTTTTATGACGTCTGAATCACTGGCAAGTAGTCCTAAAACTTTGCACTTTATTTCGTAAGAAACAGCAGCTTCTTGCATACAGAGCGACCAGAGCGATCATGACACTTTTACATTACCTAGGCCATTGGCATTAAGAAAAAATTTCACCAAGACGTTTCTAATGTTTTGTAAAACTGGCTGGCAACCGAGATATATCCTAGCATTTCGTAAAGCTTATTTGTAACCAAGAAAATCCCCTAAGCGCAAATATCCCCCAAAAGCTTTAAACGCAACCAGAAAAACGACAGTTTAGTAACCTGGACATGCAAGTCAATTTTGAGACCGTGTATTTTCCCCGCTGATAAATGCTTACCATGATGTAACTTGGTGTCGATTGATTGCAATCACAATGGAAGAGACGGCCATTCGATATAATTGGTAGAATGGACATCGTTTACACATGCCAGGCATATGTCCTGGGGGCGAACTTGACTAAATTCGTTTGTACCCGCGCGCAAGAAACGATGCATCAACAAATACTGACAGTCCCATGGGTCTCGCACCGCCCGCCCTTATCATATCTCGGAAAACTTGCAGGGAGGGGGTTACAAGAGGTTCCCATTCCGGTCGGGCGCGATTAGAGGCATCCCACATGGTAATCCACTACAAACCTAAGGTCAGGTCAGCGGACGACCTTTGGGGTTGTTTTCTTGTCCACTATTTATCACCTTTATGTCTACTTATAAGGCGAATAAAAATCATGGAAATACTCAGAGACTTCTCTTCTCAAGCCTCACAGCGGTGTCCGTATTTCCGCCCTGGGCTTGTTCGCGTTACCCTTGCGCCAACTGCGCAGAAAGAGTCTGCTGCGGCTCGCTTAGCTAGGAACCACCATCAGTGAAGGGGCTACATCTCTGCACATGCATGACACAACGGGTCTGGCCCGGTTCCAGAAGCTTTGCCTATATCGCCTCGTAAGACGGGTCTGACCCGGTTCCAGAAGCTCCGCCTGCATCGCCTCGTAAGAGGCAAGTGGACGAACTGAAACTGGCCTTCGCTGCAGCGTCCACATGCTTCCGTAGTTTTGCAATGTGAGGAATTGTTCCATGTCAGTTCCTGGTGCGGCTGTACTGTGGGTCCGCAGCTTCAATCTATGCTTCCGGGCACGCCGGACAATCTCTGCCCTCGGGGATATCCGAAATCGCGCACATGGCAGTAGCGGCAGTAATTCTAAGATCATGCTTATCAGGATGATATGGCATCCCTGTAACGCGGGAGGAAAGAAGATAGAGACGAGATAGAAGAGAGAGAGAGAGAGAGAGAGAGAGAGAGACGAGAGAGAGAGAGAGAAGAGAGAGACGAGTAGAGAGCGAGAGAGAGAGAGAGAGAGAGAGAAGAGAGGAAGAGAGAGAGGAGAGAGAGAGAAGAGAGAAGAGAGGAGAGAAGAGAGAAGGAATAGAGAGGAGGAGTAAGAGAGATAGAGAGAGAGAGAGGAGAGAGAGGAGAGAAGAGACGAGAGAGAGATGAGAGAGAGAGAGAGAGAGAGAGAAGAAGAGAGAGGAGAGAGAGAGAGAGAGAGAGCAGAGCGCGAGAGAGAGAGAGAGTAGAGATAGAGAGAGAGAGAGATATCGAGAGAGAGGAGAGAGAGAGAGAGATAGAGAGAGAGAGATAGAGAAGAGAGAGAGAGAGAGAGAGAGAGAGAGAGAGAGAGAGAGAGATATAGAGGAGAGAGAGAGATATAGAGATAGAGAGAGAGAGAGAGAGAGAGAGAGAGAAGAGAGAGAGAGAGAGAGAGAAGATAGAAGAGAGAGAGAGATAAGAGATAGAGAGAGAGAGAGAGAGAGAGAGAGAAGAGATAGAGAGAGAGAGAGAGAAGAGATGAGAGACATGAGGAAGAGAGAGAGGATAGAGTGCGTGGTGGTGGTGGGGGGGGGGGGGTGGGTGTGTGTGCGTGTGGGTGGGTGTGAACGTGCGTGTGTATGTGTGCCGGAACGAGAGGAAGCGTGACTGGGCACTGGTACCCGAGCCACCCTAGCAAGCACCAGGACGGCATGTGCGCAGCATCAATGCGCGAGGACAGTTGGGTCTGCCTCAGCATGGTACTTTATGTCTGTTCAATTGTAGTGCTGACCGTCCGCTTGTTGCCACGCGGGGTGTTCACGTCATGTCGTGCCATGATGCAACCTGGTTTATGTGACTCAGGTGGCTGACCTTCCACTGGGGCTGGGCCGCGTGAGCTGACCACCCGGTGATAGGGCGGCGGCCGATGTCAGTAGACGTTGCAGCGTGCAATTGTCTAAGGTCACTGGTTGGGTATAAAAAACAGCGTTCTGTTTTCATATTAAAGAAGCTTTTTTTAAATTCTTTGCGTGACGAGGTCTGAGTGCACTCAGAACCTCTATCTGAATTTTGTGTTTTTTTTACCTAAATTTATCCGCAGTTTACAACATAGTGACTTAAGAATCTGACGTAACTAAGTTCACATAGGGCTGTGTCTACCCTGTGATTCTAGTGTTACTGGCTCTACTAGACTTGTAAATGTCAGTGGGTCAAACTGACCACTGCTTCCTCTCGAACCCATGCGCGTCGCATTCAGCCGGGTTCCCAAACACGTATAAAAGCAGCATATCCAGGATCTCTATTTCTTGTTTGACTGCAGATGTGGTAAGCACACCTTAATCATGTGGAATCTCCCACCAAGCTGCTTCTTTACACTTTTTTTCGTACCGATTGTTTTGCAGCCGCTCGTAGTTTTATTTGCTGAACAGAAGGGTCCTCCAGTACCGAATTTCATATGTTCTACGAACATATGAAATGAAGAACTACGAACGACAACCGCTTTACGCACCTTTAAACAACACATCATTGAAGACAGAAATCGTGCTTTGACCCCACTGCGGCATGTTCTGCTGGTCTCACATTCTTGCGCGAATCTAGCTGTGGCATACGTTCCGTTCCTGCGCTGCGCACACGCTATCGGCACGTGGTGCTGCACTCCTCGCTCTACAGCCTGTTTGTGCTTTTGGGGACCCTGGTGACGTGCAGCCTGCAGCCGCAGCTCTGTGACGCCTCCGTGACGCCTCTGTGACGCTCATTGACGCGGAGAGTGCCTGCTCGGTTATAAACTAGGACGACCACCCGATAAGAGCGGTGCATTTTGTGGCAGTGACGTCATCGTTGACGGGAAGCGGCGGGTACAGTCGCCCTGGGCACGTCCTCGATATCAGCATCGAAAAATCCTCCATCTCACCATCAATGGCCCGACTAAAAGGCCTAAGGGCTGGTTGTAAGTTGCATTGAGGACCCCGGCCGTGACGTCGTGTTAGTGCCTAACTGAAGTTGCTATGTCGGCAAGGGGCCCCGAGTAGGCCAAGGGGACGTGGAACAGGGCTATGCTGAACAGTGACAGGGATGGAATCCCAAATGTCACAGGGCCTCTTGCGCTTGTTGGGACCCCTGACAATAAAAGATAACATGGTGATCTATGACAAGAGTCCACAGCGTTATGATGGGGATAGCAGATCATGTTTCAGCCAGCGGCCCCATAAGCTGAACTGTAGCTCCTGTGCCAGTTACTGGAACATTGCGACGGTAAGGGTCTCCTTTGCATTAGTAAGGGACCCTGCGTTGGTTAGACGTCAGCTGTCCTGATCAGACAGCCTCCCATACCAGGAAAGGAGCCGATGTATTTTGCACCCCTCCAAGGGCTTCCTAATCGACCAGTGGGCCCAGGTCTCCGCGTCGCCAGAATGACAGACGATGGGTATGCCACGTTGAGACGCAGTGGTCTGTTGGCCCCTAACCGGGAAGATAACACTCTATTTGTGTTCTACCCATGGGACCCCTTGCCCGGGAAAGGTAAAGGGTATCCCGAGTATTTAGAAGAGTAAATGGAAACGGGGGTCAGAAATGCGCATTGCCATGACCAACCCATGTCT